CTGTTCATGTGGTGCTGTGTGTGTGTGTTTTCAGTAAGTTTATCCAGGATAAATACAGTGGATACAGCCAGAAGGAGGCGGCGTACATCGCAGGCGCTGTGTATGACAGTTCACTGGTGCTGTCTGCTGTTGTCGGCATCCTCATTGTAAGTCAATGCTGATTACTATCAGATGAACAAGCACTACTGCGTGTTACAAAACACACTAAACTCACAAAATAAAGTTAGAATCGCTCCACAGATATTTAAATGAGATATTTACACATATGATTGCACATTTTGACTTAATACTTTTATTCGGCATGGATGCATTAAATTGATCAAAAGTGACAGTAAAACATTTATAATGTTACAGAAGATTTCTATTTCAAATAAATGCTGTTCTTTTCAGTTTTCTATTCATCATACAATCCTGAAAACAAAAAAAAATGTATCACCGTTTCCATAAATAAAAATGAAGCGGCACAACTGTTTTCAACATTGATAATAATCATAAATGTTTCTTGAGCAGCACATCAGCATATTAGAATGATTTCTGAAGATCACGTGACACTGAAGACTGGAGTAATGATGCTGAAAATACAGCTTTGATCACAGAAATAAATTACATTTTACAATATATTCACAAAGAAAACAGTTATTTGAAATTATAATAATATTTCACAATATTACTGTTTTTACTGTATTTTTGATCAAATAAATGCAGCCTTGGTGAGCAGAAGAGACTTATTTCAAAAACAGTAAAAAAAAATCTTACAACCCCAAACATGTATGGAGAAAAAATTAAATGTATCATGAAATTTATATATATATATATGGCATGATATCATCACTATATGATGCCAATAAAGTACTTTGTGGTAAGTCAGTTTAATGTTAATTGTGTTTGTGTCTGTGCTGCAGGACTATGTGGGGCTGCGCGGTGTGTTTGCGAGGCTCTGTGCCGTATTGACGCTGTGTTTGGTCTGCTGGCCTTCACATTCGTCCCTCCTCTCATATCAACCATCTGGCTCGGCATCACTTACTCATTTGCTGCTGTGAGTATCAGTCATGAACACACACACACACACACACACACACACACACACACACACACACACACACACACACACACACAGAGAGACACACAGAACAGACACTA